TATCTTAAACCAAGAATCTCCATGTCCAGAACTCTGTTAGCACTGTTTGATTTCCAGACTGGAGGCTTCTGTTATTTTAAACTATAAGCAATTTCTTCTTTACTTTGTTATTTTGTTTAACTTCGTTGATTGATTGTTTATGTGCCATCGAGTCAGTGTTGAGTCTTAGCAATCACATAAATAGATAGTTTACAAAGATGATTTGTTCCTAACGTGGTCCTTTAGGTCTTCCAACTGTTTACCCACCACTGCTGTAATTGAACACATCTATTTCTATTGAGTTCTGGGAGTCTTAACCCACTCAGATCTGGAATAATCCCTGCAATTTTTTAGAGGAGTTAACTGGGGACCTCTGCCATTCCAAAGATGGTGGAAAGCAGCTGATGATGCAGTTTCTTAGTAGCAGACCACGCTCTTTGGAAAACCGGTGACTTGCAGTAAGAAACGCCTCTAACCTTCTGGCTTTCAAGAAAGTCTTGTCCTACAGACAATAGATTGTACTAGGGTTGTCTGGGGACAGTCAGTTGATAGGGAGCATTGATTATTACTGAGTCCTTGCCAGAGTGATCAACAAATAATTGTATACATACATACATACATACATACATACATACATACATACATACCAGTATATACATACATCTCCAGCTCTTAAAAAGTGCTGCTGGTGGTTATATTTTTAAAAAGTAAAATATGTGAATTTCTTCCGGTTTTAGGTCATTTTAGACATGTTACAAGAGGAAACTTGCTTTACTAGAAGAATATTATGGGATCAGGATTTATGGTTTTGATGACCAGATAGAAGGCATTATCAAAAAAAGAGTTGTGATGTAACATTAGGAAGAGAGGTCAATTTAAAATTTTACCTGCTGTAAAGAAGATCGAAAGCCACTTCTTTTTACTTTCTTCTCTATTTTTCTGCTATTCTTTTCCTTAATGCATTTTTAGTTATCTTTCTTTTTTGTCTCTTGTTCTTTTTTGCTCTATTTTAGTCTTATTCTTCTGTTTCAAATTCTGTATAAGTAGTACTATAGGATCTGATTAACTTTTCTCTGTTCTTTTTTCTAGAATGTACATTGTGTGTGTGTGTGTCAATGATTAGTGCACTGTTACCATACTATGTAGAATTATAGGAGTGTGTGTAGTTCCTGTGCAATATTGAGAGAAGAGTAAATTTTTGGCAAGAAGGTGTGGATGACAAAGTTTGATAGCTGGCTGGCTATATGGTTTATGTAATGAAATAAATTCACCTTGAATATGAAATTTGACTTCTCAGAATCTTGAATGTCAGTTCCTCCAGCCTGAGATTTAATTTCTGAACTTTGTTATGTTTATGTTCATTAAAGACAACATTGAGTATTGCAGGTAGCACAATTGCAGACAGTCTTACAAATAAATGTCTATCTTTTAAGGGAGGAGTTGTTCTGTGACAGTTTATAGCAGCATTTGAACATTACAGATTTTGTTGGTTTTGACAACAAGGCATGAAAAATTAACCGGTAGTCATTTCCCTATAGACTAAAAAGTAGGTTCTTCTTCCTCTTTGCACAGGCTAGTTCAATTTCTTCTTAACCACAAAGCTATAGCTTTCAACAAGAGGGGTTGATCATATAAAGCATTTCTGGATATATAGTTTATTATCTATATGGAGTTGAACATTTATTGTCTCAACTATATTTTTCAACATGTCAGCCTCAATAACATGACCAGGTTATCATTTGAATCATAAAGCATTCTGCCTCCAATTTTTTATACTTAATACTGCTTCAGTATAAAACCTCTAAAATTTTCCCAGATAGTGTGGCCATGGAAGGATGATGGAGATGCTGTCAACAAAGCAAAATTGTGAACAAAATTCATTGTACAAAATCTCTGTTAAAATGCAGCTTAGTTTCTGAGGAAGTAAACAACTGAAACTTTGTGAGTTTCTTTAGAAAAGATAAATATTAAAAAAAAAAAACCTTTTCTCCATAGATAGATTACTCTTACAAGTAGTCCTCAATTTACCACAATTTAGCCCAATATTTCTGTTCATGGCAACGTGATGCGGCGAATTTGACACCCGTGCCTTAAACCATCTCATAGTAAAATAACTATGCTATGTAACACCTCCTATCACAAATGGGAAACATTTGTTAATTTTGCCTCATTTTACAACCTTTCTTGCCACAGTTGTTAAGTGAATCATTGCAGTTGATAAGTTAGTAACATGGATGTTAAGTAAATCTGGCTTCCCCATTGACTTTGCTTGTCAGAAGGTCACAAAAGGGGATCCCATGACCCTGGGATACAGCAACGGTCATAAATATGAACCAGTTGCAAAGCATCTGAATTTTGATCACATGATCATGGAGATGCTATGATGGTCATCAGTGTGAAAAATAGTCATGTCACTTTTTTCAGTGCCATTGTAACTTTGAACGGTCATTAAACGAACTGTTGTAAGTTGAAGACTACCTGTAATAAGATTTGTTTGGCATGCTTTATTTTTGACAAATCCATGTTGGCTTCTGGTTATAACTTTGCTTGTCTCTAGGAACTCGCACTTTTGTTGCTTGGTTAGCTTTTCCAGGAACTTCCCAGGTATTGATGTCAAGCTGATTGGTCTGTAGTTTCCTGGATCCATCCCCCCCCCCCCCTTTTTTTTTTTTTTTAATATGGGACAACTCTTTCCTGGTCCTCTGGTACTTCTCTAGTACTACTCCAGTATCTTTGAAAAATACGGGTCAGTAGTTCCAAGATCACATCTGCTAGCTCCTTCAGAACCCTGGGATGTAATTCATCTGGTCCTGGTGATTTGAACTTCTCTAATTAAAAGCTGCTCTGAATTTTTAGGAAAAAGAGATTTGTGATCTCTGGATATCTGCATTAGGCTGAATTGCTGTTTTGCATGATGCTTTGCATAAACTACAATTAGCTGCCTTTTACTAAACAGTGCCATGATTTATACATTGTGCTATGTCAAACATACAGTGGCTTGGTATGATATATGTAGCCAGGCACAATTTGACAGGTGTGTGGGTACAGGCCTGCCTAATTAGACAATTATTTCTCAAAGGTGTCTTGTTCTTGACTTTTAATAGAAGATGGGCAAACCTAGCATTTGACCTTGCCTTTAGTCATTGTATGCACCTTCTTTGTGGATACTTTCACTACTGCAGACTGGCCACTGTGCTCTTGAGATTATAGCAAGAAAGCAAAGACGTATGGGTAAGATTATAATGCAGAGACAGTAGACTTTTAGGAAATTATCACAAACAGATTTAACATTATAGTAAGCAGGAATTTGACTTAAGGCATGAGGTTTGGAGTGTAAGATCTAGTTTTGCTAGACACAAATCCAGCTGGGTGACCTTGGGCCAGTCACTTTTTCTCAACACAAGGAAGCAGAAAATGGCAAATCACTTCTGGAAAACCTTGTCAAAAATACCTGCAGGGACTTGTCCAGATAGTTTCTGAGAATTGGACATGGCTGAATGGAAGAGAAAAGGGAGAACTTTGCTCCCTTCCAAATGTATGGTGTTCTATTTTCAAATTCAAGTAGAAATAACATATGCCAAAAGGATGATTGTAGCTGTCTTTGTCCTTATTTGCAGCTGTATGAAGTAGAACGTTTAGTCTTCTAAGCCACTCTAGACATTTTTAACAATACCTGCCTTTAAACTGTAAATAGTCATTCAGCAATAATTAAGCAATAATTCCTTATCTAACCTATAGTCAAATACTACAAAAGGTTGAGTTCTGGGGGAGGTTCTCTTCTGCCTCTAGATAATTTCTAATTACCTCTAAATGGATTGTGGATTGCCTGCCTCTCTTTTAACTTTGCCGAACTTTCCATTCAGCCTGGAGGCTGTGATAAGGGACAGTGAGGTGCCAGCCTTTCCTTCTTCCTTGTTAGGGGCAGGGAGAAGAACTTTGTATGGTGCAAATATTAGAGAAGCTGGCTGGGGAAGAGAAAAAGGAAACACGTAGGTACCTATGCACTTTTTAATCTGTAAAGAAGTGGCCCTTGCATAGCAAAAACATAAAATGCCTTAGGAGTAAAATTTTCATGTAGTATATAGCTTCATGTGTGTGTTTGTGGCAGTGATATTTTGATGTGAGAACAGAAGTATGGAGACTCTGTCCTTAGTCCTATTTGAGAAATCTTAGTGGATACCTCTTTCTAAAGAGCACCTGTAGCACTTTGAGACTAAACTCTGCTACTGACGACAGTTGTGAGACTGACTGCAAGCCCTTTGTTGTTTGAAGCTAAATATCCAAGTTTTCATATTTCTGTCCCAAACAGCAGTGGGTGTCTGGTCCAAGCCATGATAACATTAAATGCACCATGATTTCATTAAATATATGAAGTAAAAAAGTTGTTTCACCTGCATGACAACTCCATGACCCATGTGATCTCCCTTAACCTCTGCTGTGGAAATCAATGCAGAGGGAAGGCATTTTCAAAATAAGACCCTGGTTCACAACATTCTAGGTAGATGATGCATCTGCCAGTTTTCATCCCCTTTTCCACATCTAACACCATATTCTAAATCATAGTTGAGGAAACCAACAGTACTCCAGTGAGTCTTTCCACACATAATGCTTTGAGGAGGAAGAAGTGGAGGAGGAGGAGAAGGTTCAACAGTTTAAAGAAATGCTTGCAATCCTCACATACACCATATACACTCTGTCATATTTACCTGTAGCAAAATGAATGAATGTGAGTCTGCTCCCAAAGATATTAATAAGAATGACCTGTGATATAACTTAGTACAGTGAGCTGGTACAGATGTCTAGGCATTGATGTGTGAAAATATGAAATGTCAGTATATCATTATGTTTCTAGTGCAGTCCACAGAATCGATACAGATTTCCACAATTCAGTTTCTTTGTTGCTTCATCTATTTCCTTCCTGTGGGGAGGGAGGAGACTCAAGGGAGGAGGCATAATTTGTTCACTCTGTTGCACATGATAGCTAGATGTGGTCAAGGATCAGTTTCTGCTTTCGCCTACAGATGATTCTTCTGAGCCATACGGTCTTCATTTGGAAGAGCTTTCTCTCTTGAGAAGTCCATCTGCCCTCCATATTCTTTCCAAGAGCATTTAATGGAGAACAAAACTGATCCCGATGCTGAGAAGACTAGGTAGGTCAGAGATCGGTATGCCCTTCTCTTCATTTTTGGTTGTTGCCCAGCCTAAAATAAGCTTGACATAGGTACATGTTTTGGAGAATTATCTAATTCTGAAAATAAATGTAGTGAAAGTAGGAAAGACCAAGGGCTGTGAGGGATCAGGGGTTCCATGAGGTTGAAAATAACTTAAATGTGAGTTATGATGATTGAAGACTTAATAGGTAGAGCAGATAATATTATGGAGGCATATCTGATGAGAGTGAAGATGAAGGAGCTCTGCTGGGAGGCAGTTGAATAATAAGAGTCGGGGACAGGCTGCCTAATAGGGTGACCTCCAGACACATTGGACTGCAGCTCTGTTGTTTCCAGCTCTTAAACCTCTCTCAAAAAGGGAGCTGTTCAAGTCAGCTGGGAAAAATAACCCAGGAAGCTTCAAGAACTTGTTCACTATTTTGTAACATTTTAACTACTCTGAATAAAGCTATTGTGAGCCAGTAGGGTGCAGTGGTTCAAAGCACCAGGCTAGAAACTGGGAGACTATGAGTTCTAATGCTGCCTTAGGCACAGAGATAGTTGGGTGTCCAGGCAAGAACAAGCTAATTCTTAAAATCTTGCTAAGAAAAGGACTTCTCCACGTAGTCTCCAAGAGCCAACAATAACATAAAGGCATGCACATGCATACACACACACATTATTTTGCGTTTTGGATAACCGAGAAGGAGAGGAGACAAGATGTTTGCAATAGATCATAGTTTATAATGGACAATGCAGTTGCAAGGAAAAATATCCTGTACTTTTGAGTCTCTTTTTAGCCTATTTTTTTTTTTATAGGGGATTGCCTTTCTGCATTTTAACTTACTTTGCTTTCTTAGTGCTTTCTTTGTTTCTTTTTTAAGCCGACCTTCAACAAACTTCAAAAAGGCCAGTTTGCTAGAGTAGAGGTGACTGGTTTCCTTGTTGTTATGTTTCTGCAATACCACCTGGTTTGCTCACAGATTTTCATAGCAAAGGAAGTTTGACTCTGAATTTGTGGAATGGAGCAGATCTTGAGGGATGAAACTAGACTTCAGTCCCCTTCCAAATGAGTGAGGGTGATGGGATGTTTGTTTACTAGCAACAACAACTCAGTATGAGTGGTTAACATTTTAACAGGGCTGCAAATTGAGCAGAACCCAGAAATGGCAGAACATTATTTTTAACATTTACCACCACCCACAGTTTAAAGGGAACAGGTTTTTATTAAAAAGAATGTGTGATTAATGATTCACGGGCAAAGATGCAGCTATTAGTTACGCAATACAGCATATTTGTATATTTTGGGGGATACACACAAAGAATTAGATGCAGATGGCCATGTATGAAGCTATTCATATACAACCTATCACAATAACAAGACAAAACGGCTTCCATCTTACTGCATACAGGGTTGAAGAAATGTGTAGTGATGAGCTTGCCATAAAAGATAGGAAAATTCTAGAAGCATAGAAAGTGAGGGGGTTACCTGGAGGCTCTGGCACATGACAAGCGGGAGGATAGGTGATTGACAGAACATTGGTTGCCTTAACTTGAGCAGATGGCAGGATATGGCTCTGAATCTTGCAAGATGCTGAAGACAATGCTTTCCTGTTTAGCAATGATCATCTGTATAATATAAGTGATGAAACTACACTGGCATGGCTTCTTACTTTCATCCTTCTTCCCCTTTCTGAGTTAGTATATACATGTAAGTGATATGGACAATAGTGGGGTGGAAAGAGCAAGTGATAAATAAACAAGGTTACAATGACATCTTTCCTTGCTTGAACCAATAGGGAAGGATGTTAAAAACTATGGGGAATTAACTCTTCCATTCCTAAGTAAAGCTTCTTCAACCTTCATCTCCTGCAGCATTTAAGTTTAGATAAGGGCTTTCATTGGCTGCAAGGATGTGTTTTTTTGCTGAATTTAAAGGGTTTATAGTGGCAAACTACTTTGATCCATCTTGTGAAATTTCATTTGAAATGGTGAGAAGTTTCCTGCATGTCCCAGCCTTGTCCTGGGAGTGATTGCTAGCCAGTCAGATATTGTTTAGGGGAGTGCCTGTCCAAAGAATAGCTACTGCTGTCATTTTGTCATTGCCTGGACTTCACTTCAAACAAAGATATGAGAAACATGGTCAGCATTCTTGGGAAGCTGTCAAGAAATGCCTAGCAACTCTACCAATGTTACTGTCAAAAAGCAATTATACATTCTAGTGCAGAGGCAACTGAGTCATCTCAGTGTTGGATGAAAGCGTTCAATGGTTACCATAGTTAACTTGGGAATGTATGAATTGTTGAGCAAGTTTGTTTTAGTTCCAGGGATTTATGTTTGATCAGTTCATCCATTGCAGTAAACCATAATGTTACTTACTAACGTTTGTTTAGGGTGAGGTATATATTCAGTGTCTGCTGTTATTTCTGGCTCAGAGTTAAGTGACCTAGGCATTTGCAGCTTATTTTTAAAAAAATCTGATTAATGAATGAAGTAGGGGACCAATCATTCCATTAATCATTCTTTTTTTCAGATTAGAAAAGGCAGAGAAACGGAAGGAAAGTGCTCCTGATGCCATGGAGTCTCAGAAGTTGGAAACAGCCAAACGTCTGGCTACATTAATCACAGGCCTGGTGGAGTGCATGTGCTTTGCAGGCATCATTTTCGGGTGGACATCGCTGGTCTATGTCCTCAAACATCAGAAGTACTTTGAGAACTTTTGCAAGCCAGCTGCCAATACAACCATCAATCAAACTCAAGGTATGATCTGAGAAGACAGGAGGGGGAAGGTATTTTATCCTTTGTTGAAGTTGCAAAGGTTAAACTAGCAACTAGTTTCATACAACCATATGGCAGGAACATGCTACTTGTAACTCTCTCAAACCAATTTCATCACTCTGAACTAGGCCCTATCAATTGCTCAAACCTTTGAAAAACATTCCACCAGTGCAAAAACTGAAGATGGTTATCAACCCTATGGCCCATTCCAATATGTGGCCTGCGGACTTAAATTCTGCTTGATGCTTACTAAAGTCTTCTCACTGAATTTAATAACAGCAACAGTTGGCTTTGTGGTGCCATCATGAAAAGTAAACGGGTTTTGAATATGACACTTTCAAGTCTCCTTGCATCTCTTATTCCAGAAGAGACCTGCTATCTATTAAAAATGCAGAGTTGATGGGGTTGAACAGGGAAACCTGGACAACGAAAAACCAAATGTATCAATATGGAAGATAAGACATAGTAAACATCTGCCTGTGATTTTATGTGGCATTGGGGATTACACTTAAATTTCCTCACTAATTTACAGACTGTACTGCTCAGGATGAACAGTTATCTCTCATCTTCACCATTGGCTCCTTCATGAACAACTTCATGACCTTCCCTACTGGCTACATCTTTGACCGCTTTGGCACCACAGCAGCCCGTCTGGTTGCCATGTAAGTGTTGGATACACAACTCACTCACTCCCTGTCTTTCTTTCTCAAGAGATAGCTGATGCCGGAGAACCAAAGTGGAATTTCAGGAGCACCTTTGTCTTTAATAATTGCAGAATAAGAACTTGGCAGATTCTTTGATCAGATGAGAACCTGCTGAATTCCTTCCTGTTATGGAACACTTAATCTCCAGGTCTGAAAGCTTTTTTTTTTTTTTATAAGGAGAGCTTAGGCCAGAGAAAGACAGCTCTGAGACTGTCAACAATAGACATACGCTTGCATGTGTGTGGTTTGTGGAGCAGCACCATTTTCCTTCTCTCAATTTGCTAATAATAATAATAATAATAATAATAATAATAATAATAATAATAATAATAATAATAATAATAATAATAATAATAATAA